GGGTGGGGTGGGGTGGGGGAGAGGACATGGACTGCTGGCCGGCACGGCAGTGTCGGGGCGCAGTGGATGGACCCGGGACTGAGCCCAGTCGGACGCGCGCTGCTGCGCTTGTCTGGGGGCTAACCGGAGTTTGCAATGCACACGCCTGCATCACACTGCACCCCTCCACGTGCAGCAGGCGGTCAGTGGCGCAACCCTGCCAGAAGAACAAGCAGCATGCGGCCGCCCTGTGCCCCAGCTCCCCATATCCACATGTCAAGTCGGACTGGTGTCTGGCGGAGGGCCCAGCAACGCGTGACGCATTTCGCTCGGTATTTGGAATGGGCTCACCATCGCAGTCGGTGACGGCTGCAGAGGCGTCCACGCCAATTGCCTCCAGGCGGCCCGCCGGCTTGGGCGTGTGGTCGTGGATGAACGTGGCATTGCTGCGGGATGAGGGGAGGCGTTCCGGCGGTTGTTGTGGCAACAACGAAGCCTTTGGGGGGGACTGGGGTTGGGGCAGGCGAAGAGGGTTTGACGAAGGCCAGAACGGTGCTTTATTGCAGGCACCTGTGTGCTCAGCCGTGCTGGCAGCGAACAACCAGGCGGGAATCCCCCAAACAATCGCACGCGCGCGTGTGCACACCTGTAGTAGCTGTTGGCGGTCTCCGCGTTGCTCACGATGGCCGCCATCGTCTCCACAGCTTTCACCGGGAATGACCCGTTGGCCGTCTCGCCTGCAGCAGGAAATGAGCGGCGCACGGGTTGGAACATTGGCGTGCTGGCATGTGTGCTCTGGTGATGATGCATTCGAGGCATCTCAACATGCAACAAATCGGCCGTCACGTCCCACACAGGTTTTGGTCGGCGTCTTCAGCTGCGGCGTTGCTTGGGCGGCCCCACCACACACCTGACAGCATGACGGCGTCCGTGCCGTCAAACACGGCGTTGGCCACGTCAGTCATCTCGGCACGCGTCGGCAGGGGGTTGGACGTCATCGACTCCAGCATCTGGGTGGCTGTGACGACGAACTTCCCGGCAATGTTGGCCTTTGTGATCATCATCTTCTGGGCCAGTGCCACCTTCTCGCTCGGCACCTGCAGGTTGTTGGGGGTGGAGTGAAGTGTGGCGGGGGGCCGCCGTTCAATGAGAGCAAGGCAAAGCAGAGTGGAGGGAGCATCAGGGGACAAAGTGGCACGCTCTTGCTCCAGCACTCATCGCGTCTACTGGTAGCCGACCACGGGGCCTGATTCTTCTCTGCTCACTTCTTGCCGTGCAAGTGCTGATGGAAGGAGCAGTGCACCACGCCCTCTCACTAACTTTTGTCAATGACGAGTCCTCCATGTTGAACAGCGAGTGCTGTGATTTCATAACCAACAAAGCAGAAGCAGCCGTCCCAGGCAACTTGACGACAGCCAGCCCACTGCGCTCCCACCCTCCTCTCCTGAACAGCCATCTACCACCCTTAACAACAACAAGAGTAATCAGCCGCCCCACACAATGCAGCACCCCAGGATGCACAGCCTGTTGCCCATGCTGATTTTGCAGCACTCAAGGCATAACCTTTGACGCCATCACCCCCGCCATTATCTTTGACCAGCAGCGCCCACCTCCATGGCCAGGTCGCCGCGCGCCACCATGATGCCGTCCGTCTCCCGCAGGATGTCGTCAAAGTGCTCCAGGCCGGCCTCGTTCTCGATCTTGGATATGATGCGCACGAACGCGCCCCCGCTGTTGTCCAGGACCTTCCGGATGAACCTGCGGGGGAGGGGCCCGGTGAGTGCAAGAGGGGGGGATTGGCCAGGGGTGGCTGAAGGGGGGGTGGCAGGTGGGGGCGGCTTGGAAGGGAGGACCTGGGGCCAAGCAGGGGGCTTGAGCAGGTTTGACAGGGAAGGACTGGGCCAGGCACCAGGCTGGATTAGGGGGTTTTAGGTCAAGTACAACGCAGCATTACAAGGCTAGAGTGGCTCCTGGATTTCTTCCAGGCATGGAGCCTGCAAGCTGTGCGCAAACGGCGCTGCCAGCCCTCGCCATGAGGGGGACAGAACCGCCCGCTGCTCGCGCGCCCCACGCCCTGGCCCGCCTGTCACCTGACGTCGTCGCCGCTCTGCACGAAGCTGGCTGCCACGTAGTCCAGGCGGTGGCGCACAGCAAAGTTGACCAGCTGGGGTTGCAGGTGGTGTTGCGCGCAATACGTACGTGTGGTTGTGTGAGGACGAGACGAAGATCCCGATGCCAGATTTAGTGCTGACTGGACCATAAAAATGCGGGATGCCTTGGCCCGCCCTGACCAGGCGGCGACAGCAAGCAGCAGCTCGAGGAGGAGGCGGCGGCGGCGGCGGCGGCAGGAGCCGCGGCGGCGCGATGGACGCGGCGCGACTGACAAGGGGCAGGGCCCGCAGGGCGGGGGGAGGGGGGGCCTCACGTCGTCCACGTCTTTCTCGGTGAGGACGAGCATGTCGACGTGGACCCCCGGCAGATTGACGTTCTTGGTCTGGCCCAGGCTCTTGGCGTTGAGGCACCTGGGGGGGGGCGGCCGGGGCGGCGCGGGGCGGCCAGGATCAGGGCGTTTGCGGAGTCGGATCGGTGGGAGCAAGAGAACTCTAGGTGAGGTGCCTGAGATCCTCTTGAGGTATATGAGGGCCCCTGCATGTGCCAGCCAGCCAGCATGCTGTGGACCTAGTTTGACGTGAGGTTCCGTCGCATTGCCCCACTTGGCGCCCACCAGGCATTACGGTCTCGCTGCAGCGCACCTGCCGCACAGCTGCTTGTCACCCAGGATCTCCTCCACCACGATGCTCAGGGTGCCATCGGACACCTGCAGCACAACCCATGTGAAAATGGCACCAAGTCTGTGACCTGTGAACATGCAGCTGCTGAGAAACCAGTCCCAGGATACCATGCACAGCCTGCCGGCAACCGATCTGCAGCTGCGTGCACACTTAAGCATCGCAGGTTAAGCATCGCAGAGTGTCTCGGCCGCTGCAGCCTGGCAGCCCCCGCACCTTGATAATGTTTCCTGGCTTGAGGCTCTGGCACAGCTTGTCGTAGCTGATGCCGATGTGGGCCACCCCGTCCGAGTCCAGGCCGCCCTCCCACGTCTGGTAGTCAGGGCCCACTGCCTCCAGCACCACCCGCTGGTCCGCCTGCGGAGGTGAATAGGGGGCAGCAAGCCAAAATAGGGGCACCGGGCGGGCAGCTGCATGAGTGGTTGAACACTCAGCACCGGGGCGAATGCCGTCGCACGCCATGCACGTGGCGACAACGCGAGACTCAAGGTCAGCCAATGCCACGGCTGCAGCCGCGGCTGCTTAGGGCATTTTTGGAGTTCTCGCAGCATCAAGCAACCGCTCGGTCGCTATTCCGCCCCAGCGCCCTAATCAGCTTGCGAGCACTTGCAAAGCGCCCCTCTCCGCACCCCGAAGCCGCCGAGGCCTGACCTGCAGCTCCAGGTTCTTGCCGCCCTTGAGCATCGCGGTCCTGATCTCCGGCCCCTTGGTGTCCAGCAGGTAGGCGATGTTGCGGCCCTTCAGGGCGGCCACGGCGCGCAGCCGGTCCAGCACCTGCGCGGCGCGATTGTGTGGTTGGTTCCCAGGCGCGCAGCGTGTGGCGGGGCTGGAAAGTTGAGCAAGCAGCTGGGTCCCAGCGCCGCACAGGCAGCAGCACACTGTTGAGTAAAGGTGAGGCCTTTGTTCAACAGACATTGACTCCTGCTGTGTGGCCCCCGGATATGCAATGTGGCAAAAAGGCAGAAACTGCAGCAGGGCGCACCTCCTTGTGGCTCTCCTGCGAGCCATGGCTGAAGTTGAAGCGCGCCACGTTCATGCCCGCGTCCAGCAGCGCAGACAGGCCCTCTTGGCTCCAGCAGGCGGGGCCCAGGGTGCACACAATCTTGGTCTTGCGGGCGCTGTGCTGGTGGACGTCCAGGATGTTCTGGTGGGGCGGTCGGGGGATGACGGCAGGGGGGTCGGTTGATCGTGTTGGGGGATCAAGCATGCAGAGATCATGGCATTGACACGCGGGCTTGTCGCCGCTCACAGGATCGATTGGCTGGCTGGGTTATGGCAAGGGCAAGAGGCCCGTGCCGGCGTGGACGCTGCAGGGATGCCCGCACCCCGCCCCCTCAAGATTGTGGCCCCAGAGAGGCGGCGGCGCTCCTTGCACCCGGGCCCTCCCACCTCGAGGGAGATGGCCGTGGAGCGCAGGCTGACGGTCTTGGCGTACCAGGCGCTGCCCTTGGGGCTGACGTACTTGTCGGCGCGGCCCGGCGCGACCTTGATGGAGATGTTTGGGGTGCAGCGGTGCTGCCCCACGTCGACGCCCTGCGCACGGACGGGGCAAGGGTGGGCGGGGTGGAGGGGTGGGTGGGGTTGAAGGGACGGTGCCTTAGGTGGCAGATGGAGGGAAAGGGCAGTGCGCAGGAAGGTGCTGTTTCGCACAGAAGCTGTGACATGTTAGGGCAAACAGGGACTGCTTATGTGAGCACCTCGGTCTACAGACACTGTCACATTCATTAGCATGCCATTGCCAACCAACCAAGAAACATGTGTTGCCGACCCCACTATCACCCCGCATAAGCTCTTGTACGAAACAAGCAAGAACACACACATGCAGCAAACATTTACCTGCGCACGCAACCTGACCACAGCCCCCAGACTCACCTCGATGACGACGACCTCATGCCCCGCAGGGCACAGCCCCGCCTGCACCGCCCACACCACGGCGCGCTCCAGCATCATCTCCCCCTCAAAGGTGCGGCGCCCGCTGGGCATCGAGTCCGCGATGTAGGGCACCGCGGCGTAGGTGGGGGCGCAGGCGCGCGCGACGGCGGGGCTGTCGGTCACCACCAGCACGGGGACCTGCGCGCGGCGGGGAAGAGGGGCCCAAGTGGGCAGGGCCGGGGGTGGGAGGTGGGGGTCAGCGGGGAACATGGAGTTGCAGGTGTGCGTGGGCCTGGTGCGTGTGCATGCAGCACGTGTGCACTCATCAAGAGGTGCTCGCGTTGCACTGGCCGTGTTGCCCTGGCCTCCTATCAAAATTGTGTTCAGCTTATGTACCAGCTGCGATTTGCCTTGAAGCAAACCGCATGATGATGCATGACCTAATACTTCGATGACATGTTACCAGCATGCATCAACACACCCAAGCATACACAAAGACACACCAACATGAGCGCACCCATTCACCCGCCAGTCCACCCGCCCACCAGCACGCCCCGCTCTACTTGCCCGCCAGCAGCCCCACCCGCCCATCCACCTGCTCCCATCCTAATATTGTCCAACCCCCGCGCCCCTCGTAC